GGTCTGTAATGGTCTACTATACTTGCTTAATCACAGCCATGACATTACTCGTGATAACAAATTCTTGTCGAGCATGTAGTCGGTTTCAGCGTCGCTCCAAAAGTGATTTGCTGCATCTCGCGGCAACACTGCTTGCTTATTTCCAGTACCGCCGTCTGTTTTCACACATGTGCAGATTGAGAAATCCGAAAGAAATCAGAGTAAGAGTTTACATGCACTGAGAAATCTAATTACTGAGCTAAAATCCAGCCCTCTTTATCAGATTTTCTAATCAGATTTCTGAACCTTACTCTGATCTAAGAAATCAGAGAGTGCTGTTTACGTGACCATTTGAATAATCAGATAACTGCGGAAATCCAATTATGATTGAAGTATTGAGTCCATGAGTGTTAACAGCTCTATTTATCACTGTAGACACTTCTAACAATTTTTAAAGCGTCCAACTAATTAGTTGACATCAGTTGAAATTGTAGAGCAGTAGCATCAAAATAGAATAGCATCATATATTTATCATTTTATTTATTTGTTTGTTTATTTATTTTATTGAAAACAGTGATTCTAAACATTTGATTTGTGATTTGTGATTTCGTTCACTTGCATGCACAGAAACAAGCTACAGCTTTGCAAACATTCTATAAATGGAAAAATATATATAAAACATTTCCAGTTCACACAGTATCATGTCTCTCTGCCTCATTAATTGCATTTTCTTCTGACAAGACCGATGTGTTACTGCAGATTCCTGAGAAAATCTACTTAAGCAAGCACTTTGTTCATGTTACACCCTGGCTGTTGAATAAATGAGGGAGGTGGAGAAGAACAGTAATCATGTGTTCAGTCAGAAACCGAGGACAGGAGTGCATGTGTGAGTATGAGAGAGAGAGAGAGAGAGAGAGCAAAAGAAAGAGAGAGAGCGAGAGAGAGCGAGCGAGAGAGCGCAAGAGAGAGAGAGAGAGCAAAAGAGAGAGTGCGAGCGAGAGAGAGCGAGCGAGAGAGCGCAAGAGAGAGAGATCTGGACATCTTTGTTCTCAGATGTTCATTCTCCTACCCATGATGCAACCTGCTGTAACTCCAGAGCAGTGTGAGTGAGCAGCAGTGGGGAAATGACTCATTTATCGGCACGATGAAACTGTCCCGGAATGAAATAAATACACAAATAAAACATATTCTACCGTAAACAGCATCCAGAACAGCCTGGCACAGAGACATACAGTCACATTAGAGTCCAATGGACAGAGAGAGAGAGAGAGAGAGAGAGAGAGAGAGAGAGAGAGAGAGAGAGAGAGAGAGCAGAATGCTAAACTTTGCCATGAAAATTAACTGAGCATTCAAAAGTCTAATCTGTGCATGTGAGCATGAATTCTTTCTTTTCTCTCTCCTTCTCTTTCCCTTCTCTCTCTCCTTCTTTTTCTTTCTCTCCTCCATCCTCTCTTTTTTGTCATTGTTTTATATTTCATTCTTTTTTTTTCTTTTTCTCCTTTCTCCCCACTTCCATTGTTTTCATATTTCTTTCTTTCATTCTTTCTCTCATTCTTTCTCTCGTTCTTTCTCTCTCCATTTTCTCACTTTCTTTCTTTCCCTCCATTTCTCACTTCCTTTCTTTTTTTCCTCCTCTCCATTTTCTCACTTCCTTTATTTTTATATTTCTTTCTTTCCTTTTGTTCTTTCTTTTTGCACTGGTAGTTAGTTGTGTTCATATTTCTTTGCAACAAAATTGGTTTTATATTATTAAATACAGTGCTTAAAAATGTTTGAATGATATCATATATAAATGTGCAAATTCTAATACAGAGAATACCCTTTAGTTTCCATCTGTAAATAGAAATACAGTAGTTTTTCTCTGCCCATTCATACTGAATTTCATAATGAGCATTTTAGCCTGGACTGCTTTTAGAATGAGGTGCAATATAGGGCAGCCAATCAGAAGAGAGCTCATTATATATATTAGTCTCGAAGGTGTGGTTAGAAAGCTGACTATTTTACTCCAAATGAAAAATGGAGGTTAAAAAGTTGTCCTGTAAATTTGAATTACAACTGTTTCTGGTGCACAAACCCACATAAACATCCTAATACAATACAATAAGAATGTAGGGTATGGGCCTTCTATCTAAATACCTTCTATCTTATAATCCTTCGTTCTACACTGTTTAGGATATAACTGAATAAAATAATATTAATATGACAGTTGATTCTAAGACTTTTGATTGGTCGTGTAGCATCCTGTCACTGTCAGAGCTAAACTTTATACAGTGTTGTTGCTATTAGTTTCTACATAATTTAAATATGTTAGCTGAAAAATGTAAGTAGGTTTTAAGAAGAAATTTGTTCTTAAGAGCAGTTGACGAATGAGGCCCAATATTTGTAAAGCGCCTGGAGTTCCATAGCAACCAAGTAATAATTCCATAGCAACCACCTGGGGCACTATAACGACACATTTGCAAATCAATAGCAACCACCTGGGATAAAACAGCAACTGCTTAGCCACACCCTAGCATCTATCTAAAATACCCTAGCAACCTCTTAACCTAGCAACCAACTACCAACATCCCAGCAATTCCACGGAAAAAGCTCTTAGAGTTTGTAAATAATATTTGTCCTTTACAGTGTGTTAAAATTTCATGATGAATGATAAAAAAGTAAAAATGCTCCAAAATTTTTATTCCATTTACTTCCATTCAAAATTGAGAACATCTTTTCTTCTGCTGTAAGGTTACCACTTTGAAGACAGATGGTTATTTATTTTTTTTTTTTTCTTTGGATTTTCAACAATTTTTACCCCAATTTAGTCATATACAATTCAACCCATTAGTTAGAACTCCCTCAATCACCTGATATCACCAGCGCCAGGAGGGCGAAAGCTAGCACAGGCTTCAGCCGAGATCTGTGAAGCACCACCGCATCTTTTTAAACTGAGGAGAATGCTAACCACCAGTTCTGTTACGTCAGCTAACAGACATTTGCGCTGACTAGCATTGAGTGATGGGGGAGGGGGGCATCCAATCCACCCACACAGGGAGACCAATTGTGCTCTCTCGGACACCCAGCCACAGATGGCTGTATACACAGGGGTTTGTTTGCATAAGTGACGATACACAGGGAGAGTCACTCGAAAGAGGCCCCGAATATTCTGTTGTGACTCCCATTAGGATGAAGCAATCTTGTTCGAAGCTCCATATACTGAGGAGCACATTGCACACTGTTTCGTTCAGATTGCTTCGTCCTAGAGAGAGTTATTACAGAATATTTGGGGGCTCTTTCGAGTGAATCTCCCTGTATAATATTAAACAAAAATTGGTAAGAAGCCTGTGTTTACATACCGTACAACATTTTTAGCCACTGCAATGACAAAAGAAAAAAAAAAGTCTGAAGGCTGATATGAGGCACATTAGTCATCAAAACTATTTATGGAGGAAAAATGACTATGATGAAGGTCAGGTGTGTGCTGGAATGAAACACTGAATCAGGAAAGGCTTTTTATGTGTTTGTTTTGTTTTTTTTTTGGCGCTGGCTGTATTGCCCCGCAGACAGTACAGTGAGCCAAACTGAAATGCGGAAGAGTTTGAGCTGCAGCCCTGAAGCCCTGAGCTGAGTCAGAGCGAGAGAGAAGAGAGAGGGACAGAGAGAGAGAGAGAGAGATAGAGAGAGAGAGAGAGAGACTGCAGAATCACACTGCTCCAGCCCAGGCTGAGCTTTAACCCACCACTTCATTTACAGATCAAACGCTGCTCCTATGAACCCACAGACACACAGAACATGCAGAGATGGTCAACGCTCCACTGATGTAGAAGCTCAGAAACGCCAGCAGCTGATTGGCTCTTTAGACCTTCTACATCCACAAACACCGATAACAGCTATTAGGACAACTGGACCTCAGATAAATACATGGTTTCTTAAAACACTCTGTATAAAAACAACAGATTAATGCTGTGTATGTGGACATCCTTTATCTTCTATTTCTATTCTTTATATCTTTCTCTTTCTTTCTTGTTTCTATATTCTGTTATTTCTTTCTTTATTTTTTTTTTTTGCTTTTCTCCTGTTATTTTTGTCAGTTCTTTCTTTCTTTATTGTATATTTTTTTTCTTTCTTGTATCTCTTTATCTGTCCTTTCTCTTTCTTTCTATCTTTCCTTCTTGTATATTTCTTTCTTTCTTCTCTTGATTTTTGTTTTATCTGTCCTTTCTCTTTCTTTCTTTCTTTCTTTCTTTCTTTCTTTCTTTCTCTTTCTTTCTTTCTATCTATCTTTCCCTCTTCAAGTCTACTTTCTTTTTGTCTCATTTTTTTCTTTTTTCTTTCTATTTTTTATTTTATGTTCTTTCTCTTTCTTTCCTCCTTTTTCTATCTTTTCAGTTTATGTTTCTGTCAGTTGTTTTCTCCTTCTTGATTCTTTTCTTTCTTTCTTTCTTTCTTTCTTTCTTTCTTTCTTTCTTTCTTTCTTTTCTTTCTTTTTTTCTCTTTCTTTCTTTCCTTTTTTTTGCACTGACATTTGGCTCTTTGATTCCTGGCATTATTGCAGTGCCTTGTAGGACCTCATAAAGCTATTACTGAGGCCCAATATATCTTATGGAGACTCAGCTCTCTTACATACGGCCATCAGCTTGATTCATGGCTCCCTGTTCTCACTGAGTCAAGAACATTAGGCCGTTGTTCAATCAACCTTCTGCTCCTGTATTCTCACTGGGTCCACCACCGAGGCAAACCTCCAGAAGCTATAAGATATTACAGTAATGATTCTGTGTGTGTGTGTATGTGTGTGTGTGTGTGTGTGTGTGTGTGTGTCTATGTATGGGAGTGAAATATTGAAATACCTGCAATGCATTTCATGTAGGAGGAACATCTATTTACACTAATAGAACATTTTTTTTCTAAACGCTTCAATGTTCCAGCACCTGTTTTAACATTATTTGACATTATCTTGGCTTGAAGGAACACTAATGGCAAAACTGAGTGTTTAAGCAAGCACCTGCTGTGGGTACTTTATTAAACATCCTGTTACTCACCACATTGAGAAGCGTTCTTCCCCTTAGCCATGGCGTAGTTTCCTGCGTCACAATAAATCTCTCTTTTCCTCAGTGTCAGTGTTTATATCTGGAAGAAAATTTACAGTGACTGAGTTACAATAACATAAAACAAACAATTAAAATTTTTTCCATTTATAAAACAGTAAATTGTATTATAGCTGTATAACAGGACAATATAAGCTTCATTAGAATGCATGTATTATTTTTCATTAATCCATAACTTTTATTTTCATTGTTTGAGCACAGAATCTGAACATGAAAACCACATGGTTTCCACAGAGTGGATGCAGTTTTCATCACCAATATCCAGTGAGAGTAACAGCGTCTGCATGTCCCACCAATGAGTGTATATATAATATATACAGTGAATGAGTGTATATACTCACATATATCATACAAACAGTGAATGAGTGTATATAATTGCATATATCATATAATCACATATGTCATATACACAGTGAATGAGTGTATATTTACTACTTGTCAGATTAAAGGGTCAAAGCAAGAAAACACATTGAAATTGCAAAGTCTTTATTCTATATTCAAAATTGTCAATAGAAAATATATACAAAGTTTAAATAAAATGTAAAGACTGCATAATGAACTATATTAACCCCTTAAAACCCCAGGCTTATTACATACTAAGGTTTATTATTCAGTGATTACAGGGTACAGGGACTTAAATGCATACGGGTTGAGCTATTCTTATATAGTGTTATAGAAGTGTGCGGCAGCAATGTTAGGGGTTACTTCACTTATGTAATTGCATTGTAGAAGTAGAGCAAACCAACAGTAAAAAACCCAAAGTTATAAGGGTTAATAAGTAATTGTGACAAGCCGTCTCCCTGCTTCTCTCTAAGGCTGACATTTAACGCATCTCGAACAAGGCAGAAACCAGACGAGTCACACTTCACAAAATCATTATAGCCTCTTTTACACTGGACAGACTGTCGTCCGCTGACTGGGGGCACACAGCTTGTCCTTTAAAGACATCTCAAGCCTACAAGCACATCTGGAACGTCTGTATTCCACTCTGTCTCTCCTTCTCCTGCCCTGCGTAAATCATTTTACTTTCTCACTCTCTTCCCCTCTGTCCATCTGAAAAGAAAGACACTAATGAGGCTTTCCATGCAGGCCAGGAAGAGACAGAGGCAAGGTGATTATGCAAACACTGGCTCAGAATTGCTAATGAAGGCTGTGGAGGATAAAGAAGACAGTGAGGGGCTGGTTTTAAAATAAATAAAGAAAGAAAGAAAGAAGGAAAGAGAAGAAAGTTTGTGTTCTGGACACTCTTGTAAAATCAAGCTTGACACTGAGTACTATTAGTAGCCCATTAAGCAGTTCAAGGACAATAGCTGTCCTCCCATTTGATCATTTATCGCCTAGATCCCCTCGTTAAGCCCGAGCTGGGCTCCGCAATGCCCCACGAATATCAATGGCCTTGGTCAGGAAAAAAAATAAATAAATAAAATGGGGCAAATGGGGCGAATGGATTTTTCATTCTTCTGTTTGACCTCAGCAAGGTGTGCTTCATATTTTATGGAGCTGTGCTATCCGGTCCATCCTGTTCATGAATTATTGAGTCCAAAATTTAGTTGCATTTATCTTTAATGAGTCATGTAGTGAATTTAAGGCCAACTTGACCTCACAAAGATTTTATAGGAATTACATCAACTTGAGGTGATGTTGCTGGATTCAATACCAATGAAGTCCTACGAAAAGCAAAATAATAAAAAAAAAAAAGTTAAATCAACCACATCCTTAATCTCAATCATGCTAAACCTTGCATTTTGCAACTGTGGTCCTATTGGTGAGACATATATAATCAATGATCTACTCAAAGCATGATCATATCATAAGATTATATTGGGTTTTACACAAAAAAACAAAGATCAGATTTTAAAGCAATAAGCAAAAAGGGGCTTATACAGTGGTTTTATATGGGTAAGGGGTGTTGTTAGTCACATTATGTTGTTAGACTCATGGTTTTATTCTTCAGAAATTGGTGATACATACAAAACATAATATAATAAAATGCACATGATCAATAGACATTCATCATTATCATCATGGCATAATTGCAACAAACCAAATATATAATTATTTAAAGTAGGCTATCTGTTCCAAGCAAGCCTTTATGGCAGTTCCAGTGTCATATTAGCATCAAGCTAACAGTGCCATGTGTTTTCCTCCACTGAATATTACCTGCCACGTTTAGCCCAGTGGGTATTCCACAGAGCTGGATTTCTCAGTTAGCCAGATAACTTAAGCCAGAAGATGAGGAGTGTTCAATAGGATTGTCCCTAAGCTCTTTTCCTTTGGACAAGCTTGATATTGGGCTTAAGTTATCTGGCTAAACTGAGAAACCCTGCTTTGTGAAATACCCTGTGTTCTGTGTTTAAGAAAAAAAACAAAAAAAACAAACCAAAATAAAAATACCAAACAAAAACAAAACTGGGTTCTTATGTAGGGTATGTATAATACAGGATCAGGCAATTTATTTTGCATGCTGTTGACTAAAGTTTAATTTGAATTATTTTTGTGATTTCTCCTTTCTAGAGAACTTTGAATGTGTGTGAAAGGTGCTATATAAATACACTTGCCATTGCTTGCCTTGCTGCTGCTATTTAAATATGTAGCATATTGATATAAAATGCAGAAGTCAATCATTTTAAGGTAGTCGTATACGTTGTATATTAAGTGTTTAACATCTTAGGCTGTTATCACAGCTCGGCCATTCAGATTTGGGGATCTATAAAAATGTTTTTGCTTTAACCACAACTTTTGTTATTCCATCTAAGTGCATTTAAGTTGTCAACATAGCTTAAATAATGACTTGTATTGTGTCAGCTCACTTTTTGGCTGTCCAGCGTGCATCTAGAACCAGGCTAACCAGTCAACAATGCTTAAATGAATGTTGTAAAAAGTAGTGATTTCAGTTTTGGACAGCAATTGTTCTGTTTTCTTTTTTTCTTTCTTTCAACCAGGCTTTCACTTGAAGGTGAACTGACACCTTGAAATATTGCAGCTTTTTTCAAGCTGGACGGCTAGACAGCTGTCTTTCAAGAATTATGATAGAGGATGCTTTTAAGGTGCTAAAACTGTTAAGAGGCCATGGACAAAAGAACCTTAAATAAACAGACTGTGGTGTAGCTGATGTGCATCAACAAGTTCAACATTTTTATTTCATGAACTGCTATCAAGGGCTAAAATCTACACAACACTGATAAGAAATCCTGCTATTTCAGCCCAAAACATCTTCTGGACAATATTTGACTTCTGAGGTAGCAAGGAATATTTTTCTCTGCTGTCAAAATGACAATCCGGCAATAAGAGACAGGGGTCAAAAAGACCCTCCAAAGAGCCACATTGATTTCTGCCCTGGAAACAGACTCAAAAAGAGCACAACTTGACCTGTGAGGAGTGAAATCACAGCATGTTCTTCTTTCTCTGTCTCTTTATTCCTCTTATCCCTGCATTATGGGGATTTCAGAATAAGGGAAGCTGAAATCAAGGTCATTTCATCTCCTACTCTCTTCTTCTGGTTTTCATTCCCACAGACACCCATAGTGATTCTCCTGTTCAGGAGAGGCTCATTCTTCTTTTATTAGAGATATAGTGAGTAACAAATGCTTCCTCCTGATAAAATACAGGCAGAGAAAACTTCTTTCCATTTTTTTTGGATAATATCGTTTGTTCTTTGTCCTTTGGCTCTCCGTCATTAACTTCTAGCTGTACTTCTGTCTGTAATAAGTCATGTAGTGAACTTAAGGCCAATTTTATGTAAGAATTATGTAAATTGAGGCTGAATTCAGTGAATAACACACCAATGAAGTTGCAAGAACAGCTATGAATGGCAAATCAGCCACATCTACAAAGTTATCTGTTCTAAATCTCTGCTCACAGAGAATTCCTATGCATTTGAAATCCCCGCATTTGAATCCAGGGGTGGATTAGTGGAATCCAGGAGTGGATGTCCAAATACAGTTTTGCTCTGCCTCTGGCTCCCCACTGCTGCACAAGCCTCCACTATGGATGTGATGAGTATGTATAAGTTCCAGGAGGACATGTTGGCTCAAGGACTTGCCATGGAACAACAGCAATGACAGCTAGCATGGCACCGCACAGAATTAGTGGAGTCCCTGAGGCTGCTGTAACAGAGCCAATCTTCCTCTACATCCAGTCCCAGATACCAGCCAACTGCTGGTAATCCACCTTGTCCTGTACCTTCTCAAAGCCTGCCTTAACCCTGAGTCCCCTACTGTCTGACCTCACCATGTATGAAGGGGTCTCCCAGAGTATAGAAGATTTTTCGGCAGTGTAATCACTACTTCAAGTAGATACTACACTGTATAAATAAAGGTTCTGTTCAGGTACATTTTTCGTTCATCAAGGTACAATCAGTGTCAATGTTTCCTCAAAGGTGCAACATTTGTTTTAAGGTCCAACTGTGCACCTTAAACACATTTTTTCCCCCCAGATGAAAAGTTTGCATTTGTACCATTTTTATGACCTAATGTTTTAAAACGGAATATAAAATAAAAAAGCCTGGAGACGAGACGGGGTGTGTGGAGTCAATACAACATTGAAAATATAATTTCAATGGATTATGTTCCCTGACTAAAGGTACTGAGATGTACCCTTGAGGGTACCACCCCAGTGACAAAAGGCGGACTGCCCCACTGACAGTTTTAGACCTTTTTTTTTCTGAGAGTGTAGGATTTAATCCATCAAAAGAGGCTTAGGTGGCCTTCAGTGTAACATGGTTTATGATCATCTGAATGAGCTCCTGTCGTAATTAAGGAGAGGGGATTTAAAGGGAAAGGGGAAGTAAAACAAAAGCTCCATTCAAGCTGAAGGTACCAACTAGATCCACAATGTTAATCCAGTATGAATCCGTGATGTCCGTAGTCTTTATAAGTCTAGTTCCAGAGCAAAATATCTTGTTATTTGCAGAACTTGGGGTGCCTTCAGCAATAGTGTCTCTGTTTGAATCGAGTTCACAAGAGCTACATACTACAAAGACAGTGGATGGTTTCACAGGCTCTCTCCAAGCTCAGCTTCAAC